TAATTTTAAAAAGTCAATGTGAGAGTTTATCATATGGGGTTTTAAAGTCAAGCCTCTTACCACTTCTTTCATTGGTTAGAAAGTTACCTTTGTATATATTTTCATTTTTTCTAAATTTAGAATTAGTTATAAAAGATGATTATTTTAATGTTATCAGAAGCTACACCTGTTAAAGACTAATAATCAATGGCATAACTTTTTTTGAGAGAAATCATCATCTTTTTGAGAGCTAAATTAACATTCTGAGCATTCTAAGAGGACTTCCCTTAAACTACCTTAATGTTTTAAATCATTCTTCTTTGTACAGAAATTTAGCATTATTACTCTATAAAGAGATATCTGTTTTCAATTTCATGGTAGGGGAGGCCCTATACTATATTCTTAAAACTAAAAAAAATTAAGAAAATCCTAAGAGAAACAATTCACTATACTGCATTTATCAACACCACAAGTTTCTCATCACCTCAAAATGTGACTTGTCTGTCCTACTGTCTGCAGTACATATCAAGCAATCCAACTTTTTCTTACAATGTTCTGACATTTCTGTTTCTGGGAGCACCACTAGCATTACCACTTGCACTTCTTATGGCTGCCCTAATGTTAACCAAGGTTCACCATATTGCAGTTAACACCAAGAGAACTGAGAGAGATCAATTTTTACTGCCTTAAGCAATTTACTGAAGAGCTGCTCAGGCAGAGATGATTAGATCACACCATCTTTTGGGCAGATATGCAACATCTGAGCTCACACAACAGGAGGTGGCTAAAAAATTATTACAGTACAGTAGGTACTACAGTTAATCTTATGCAATTAGGAGTTAATATTTCATCTTTATATTTGTTTAAATTTCTCTCAACTATGAATATCAAAATGCAGTCAGTATGCCTGTTTGGATTTAAATTTGAACTTTATTAGAACTTTACATATTATATTTTATGGCAAAATATCTTATGTACATCACATATGCAAGTTTTTTAATTTTTTAAGTATTTCTAAGATATGAATTCATCTGAGAACTTCTTCAAATTGCCCCAAATTACCCAAAAATTTTCCAATATATTTATTGAAAAAATCCACATTGTCAGTGGACCCACAAAATTCCAACCCCCGTTGCTCAGGTCAACTATATATATATATATATATACACATAAATATATGTATATAAATACTTAACTGGGGCCTCCCCTGGTGGCATAGGCGGTTGAGCGCTGCTCTGTGAAGCTGTCCAGAGCCTCTGCAGCGCAGGTTCAATCCCGGCTGGCTGGCGAGGGTCCCACATGGCACAGCAGACCTCTCCTGTCGTGCCTGCTGCTCTCCTCAGCAGTGTATTTCATCTGTCTGCCTGTTCTGTTCCCCGCTCTGTCTCTGGTGAATCCTCTCACCCTCCTGCACATCTGGCCTATACCCTGGTTCTTGTATAAATAAATAAAATACTTATCTGTACTTACAGAATGAATGTATACATATTTAAAGTGAGAAACTCTTAAAAGCAAATGTCACATAATTAATGAAGTATGAATTTGGCAAAATGATTTATAGCCTTGTAAATAATGTATTTAAGACATTGAGACATGGTTACTGTACACCTGAATCCTGGTGAGCAAAGGGACTCTAGCACTCAGGGAGCATCCAGTCTGGTAAAGCAGAAAGTATGTGATTTATGAAAATGGAAACTTCTTTGGAGAGAATTTTTAAGAACTTAAATAAAACTTATGCACAGTGCTTATAAAAGATGTGTATTTCTCACAAGGAAGAAGTGAAACACCAGCTAACAGCACCAAAGTTACATTTTTCAAGTCCACTTTTTGGACAAGTAATCATTACAGGAATCAGGGAGCTTGCTATCGGTCCTGTTAGAGGCTTCAATTTCTAGGTATGGACATTAAGAGAAGTACTATATAGGTCAATATTTACTACACAGCTAATATGCAAGACTCTAATCAAGTCTTTTAAGTATGGTGATTAATAGCAAATTTCTGCAACTTATACTCATTTTTTAAAAAAGATTTTTTTTAAATATTTATTTAATTATGCATACAAGAACTGGGGTACAGGCTAGAAGTGTGGGGGTAAGAGGATTCACCAGGGACAGAGTGGGGAGCATAACTGGCAGAGAGACTGACCGAAATACGCTGCTGAGGGGAGAAGCAGGCCAGACAGGAGGTCTGCTGCACCACGTGGGTAGCTCCCTGGCAGGCTGGGGATGGAACTCTGCTGCAAAGGCTACAGAGAGCCCCACAGTGCTGTGCTTAACCCCTTGCGCCACCAGGAAGGCCCTACTCACATCTTATCAAGAAAATGAAGTATTTATGAAACCCTATAAGAAAGAACCTAAAGTTTGTGACATGACTAAGGTTCTTACAGGATTTATCTTTTTAATTTCCTTATGTTTCATGTAACATAACTGATGATACTAAGTACTTAGCTTCTGCTTTTCCTTCTTCAAATATGAGTGGAAAAAGACAAGAACTGATTTTAATTCTGGACATTATTCCATCTGTGTGACAACAATACAGTGCAGTGAGTAATTCTAGAGAATGCTCCTCTCACAAAATAAGAAATTTAGGTTTCTATTTGCTAGGTTTCCCAGCAGACGAGACAATTTTTAAACTATAAAGTGCTTGAGTTCTAAAATAGAAATTTCAGTTATGAAAAGTATTTCCAAAAAAAATCAATTTCAAAAACAAACAATAAATGTGAGGTCTTCCAAAAGTTTGACAACTTATCCTAAATATCACTAATAGGAGGCATTACTTCCTTTATACAATAAAGTCTGTGGAGTGTATTTTCACTAAACCCATTTCTAAAATAAAATTTTTAGATCAACTACTTTTCTTCCTCAATGAACATTATTATAATATGCCCACTCTGACTTATGACTATGTTAATCTTTATAGACAATGAATTTTGTGAAGTACAAATTGAGACCTGAAAGACAGATTTGAGTTGTGTATGTCCACTTAACTCAGACTTTCCCATAAACAATACAAACTAAAGTATGGAAAAAGCAATATTGTAAATACTTTTTCTCTCCCTTATGATTTTTAATTTTTTTTCTTCAGCTTACCTTATACAGTAAGCTATTTATACAACACATAAAACGTGTGCTAATCAGCTGCTACTGGTATAGGCTTCCAGTCAACAACCAGGTTACTAGTGAAGTTTTTGGAGTCAAAAGTTACACAAACATTTTCAACTAGAATTAGAGTGTCAGTGCCCTTAAACATCACTCTCACCTTACCCAGCCCCCACTGTTTAAGGATCAACTGTACTGAGTTTCATTCATTCTGTATTTGGTTGATTTCACCCACCCTAACCACTACCCACTCCCACAAACACATCTCAGAAATTACATTCTACAATCAAATGTTAACTGAATGCTTATTGATTAAAATTATCTATTTTAACATCTGACTTTATTATTAAACGTAGTTTCATTCACTAACATCGTGTAATCCTGTGTTCACTTTCTTCTGGATTTCTTAAAAAATAAATAAAAAGTTGGAGAGAGATTACTTTAGGATTACTTTAAGGAAAAACAAAACTATTATAATCTAATCACTAAATTGTTTTGAAATAGGAGCAATTATCTTAAAACATACCCCCAACCACTCTACTACTCCCAATGTTGTCTCTATCAGAAAGCAGTTTACTGAAACAAGGCGACTCTTTCTCTAAAGGAGAAAAACTAAAAGGAAGATCACAGCCCTATTTCAATTCGACTCATGCCTATTTAACAAATCCTAACCCCAAATCAACCACACAGGAGAGTAAATGTATGAGATACCGGGTGGCAGCTGTATCATATTTTTATGAACTCTCACCCATCCAACGATCAGTAGTAACTTTAAGGTTGGAAAAGACCTTAAAGTTACATTTAATCTAGACCTCTCTCCAGACAGGTGTTTTGCTAGGATCTGCATTAACATCTCAAGGGTCTGAGAGGTCGGTATTTCAAAAGAGGTGACATTCCATTCAAGTTCTCCCCATATTTCACTCTGATTTATCCCCCCAACTCCTTAAACTACACCCATCTATTCTTCTGTGTCCCTCCTGGAGCTACGCAAAACCTATTTCTATCAGAATGGTGGCCAGGATTTTTTAAAATACTCATCTGTTCTAACATCACGTTTTCCAAAATAAGTATTTCAGAAACCAAAGGGGCAATTTTTGCCACTCTGTTTAACAGAAACAGCCACGGGTTATCTGTAGATATTATTCGAGATTAACAATCCACCCACAACACTTAAGTATGCCCACTTACTAGACGACGAGCTTTGATCGTGGCATTAGGGTTTATGAAATTTAGCCTAATTGAAAAGGAAGTTCTGAAAAAACGCATTACATTCTCATAATCCTACCAGGAAATAAACCTAGGGGCCTGCAACACAGAACAGGCCTTCTCTCAGCCGCGCTCAGGACAGCTAAACAGAAAAAGAAGAGAATTAGGATTTTAAAATATTTAAAAAATTAAAAACCGCTGGCAAGATAAAGTGGTAGGTCACATGGAGATCGAGGACGAAAGGGCTGGCCTGGTCTTTTCCGAAGAGTCCCAGTGGCTCGGAGGGAGCGACCAGCTACTTGCGGGGCAGGGGAACCTCCCAACCCCCACCCCGCAACGACGACCGCGGAGCTATCTCCCCACTGCCGAGCCCCGCCTCCGCCCGTCACCTCTCCCCGCACTAACCTTTCTCCTCCCGGCTGTCGGCCGCCATTGCTCGCCTCCTGTTTCCGCCGCCGCCGCTTCGACGCGACTCGCGCGGGCGCCGCAGTAGCGGCAGCAGTAGCGCGGGTACGTCCGTCAGTCCGTCCGCTGGGCTGCGCGCTTCGCACCGAGACTTTACCACTCACCCTTCTCGACTCACCCTTCTCCTTCCCGCTTCTTCCCTTTCTCCCTTTTCCCCTGCCCTCCTTTCACTCCAGCCTCCGGTGGCCTAGGCCCAGCCTTCCCCTTGGGGTTTGGGAACGGGAGGGGGTAAGGGGGAGGGAAGGGAAACAGATGGCGACGGCGGGCGGCGCTAAAATGGAGCCTGCTTCCTGCGTGAAACAATCCCGCTCCCGAAATGCTCTGCGCTGTTTACGCTTCGTTCCTCCCTGGGAACGTCACAGTGCGGCGAGGGGCGGGGAAGCGGGACGGGCGAGGGAACGTGACGTAACGTCAGCGTGTCGCCCCGCCCCCCCGCAGACCGGATGTCCCTGGAAAGTCTTAGTGACAGTGATCTGGTTACCCGAGTTATCCGTGCGCAGCCTGTGGCTGTTGGTACGCCCTGGTGGTATAGTTTTCTCACCTGAAAAGTTCACAGCGGACGTTCCAGCCTCGGGGCAAAGATCCGTCCTGTAGCTCCGCGACACTCTTGATTAGTTCTCGAAATCTGAGCCTATTTGCGACAAGTCTGGGCAGGTCCCTCTGGGGCCCCCACTTTCTACTCGGTTTACCAGATGTGCTTTTTTAGTTGGGTCCATAGGTGTACCCAGAGGCAGCGCAGGTTGCCAGCGTACTTGTCATGAAAGCCTACTAGTTTTGTTCTTAAAACTGGGGAATTGTATTTAAAAATAGCTTTGTAATTCACGCAATAACAAATTTGTTAAACAGTGCTCTAAGCCCTGGGTCCCCTGTTGATTTAAACAGACTTGAGAAATTGAAACTATAGAAATGATCAAAAAATTTGCTTAACTACATAATACAGCAACATCGGCTAGGAAACTTTTATAAACTACATTGATCACCGGAATGAAAACGTAATTTGTTGCTCTTTTGCATCGTAACTGGGTTTACAAGGAAAAGAAAATTTGACGGCAAAAAAGTAACATTGTGTTATAAGAACAAACTAATGGCAGATTCAGCTAGTGTCTTGTTGTTTCGTAGCCATTGTAACAAATTGATATTAACAGCTGCGGGAAAATTTTAAGGAGCAGGAAAACATCTAGAGGAAGCCTTGAAGGGAAAAGAGAAAAGGAAAAAAAATTCAGTAAATAAAAATAATAGCTCTATCAATTAAGTTGTATGAATCAAGAGTGAACAGGACAGTTTTCCTGACTTTAAGAAATTTTGAAAGTAATATAGGAAGGGACAGGTTACAGGAAATTATTGTGTAAGAATAACTTAAAATTACGTGTTTTTACTGTGTGCCAAGTACCTTGTACTTGAGGTACAAGACCTGATTTCATCTTCCAAAAACCCATTAGGTTATGTTATTAGCTCTATTTTACATGAAGGGGAGAAAACAAAGTAATATAAAATTAATGTGTCCAAGGTCACAAGTGGTACTAAGTAACATGTCTCACAACCAAGTAGTCTGGCGCCAAGCCCACCTGCTTGTTAATAACATCTCCTCCAGAATATGCTTAGGATATTATTGGAACCTTAGGAACTTGATGTTCAAACTGGTAAGAGATACAGAATAGAGTCAAGGAAACTTTCCAGGAGAAGAGAAAATTTAAAACCTAATTGAGAACTAAAAGACTTTTAGCCTAGGTAATGAGACACAGGGCAAGCTAGGAATTAGGCAGTTTTAGGGACAGTGCAGGAGGGGACCTCTGAAGAATTTAGGGAGGCTTCAGAGATAAGGACAACCAAGAGAATGTAACCAATTCCACTGGGAAAAACAAACATCCCAGAACCACGGACAATGTTAACAATGGTCCTGGTTTTCTTCAGGTGATAAAGATAAAGTGTAGAGATGCTCACCGGGAGGACTAGGCCATAAAGATAAAGCGATAAGCATAACAAATGGGGAAAGACAGATCTGTTAGATATGGAATGTGAAGATCCCCCACTCAGTAGCCAATTAAGTGAGACAGACGATAACTAACCAATCTCAAAGAGACTGGTGGAGCTTTAGAGTAATTAGGGAAAGAAGGTATATATTCCCTGAGACAGGACTCCACTTTGGCTTCCTTGGCCCTCCCAGCCCTGGTTCCCTGGCCTGGGAGTCCCACTTTATTTCTGTTCTTTTTCTCCTCAATAAACTTTTTCTTTCTATAAACAAACCTGCCTCTTCTCGCTTGCTTGCCTGAGCATCTGCGAAGTTCCTGCTGCGACTTCGTGAGACACCAACTCGTGGGGGTCTAGTGGCTGGGGCTCAGCACTGCGCCTGCAGCCTGAGATCCGTTCCTGGGTGAGAGACTAGGTCTGACAATTCCGTTATCAGTGATATGGAAAAAGGCCAAAGGTAGTGGATAGAAGGATGTTTCTATGTAAAAAAAAAAAAAAAAAAACAAAGTCCTAGATGGCACAGTTATCCATGGTCTGCATTCAATTGTTAGAAGAGACTGAATCAAGAAAAGACTGAATCAAGAAAAGTGTTGCATAGCGTCCTATACAGTTATCAAATCAGTTAGTGTTTATTAATTGTCAGTTAATTCATAATTAATTTATAATCAGTTAATTCATAGTCGGTCCCAAATATTGTTTTAGCTATAATATGTGCGTATGTATGTATGTACATAGAGAGAGAGAGAAGAGAATGAATGAATAAATCTGGCTTCTCTTCAAGGAATTCGACTTTACTTTCTAGTTAGAGAGACAAGATATAAGTAAACAATTCAAAATCATGATCCTGATGAATTTTTTAAAGAACACATAAGGCTAATAAGGCAGTGGGGAAGGAGACCTTTTATGTAAAAAACTAGTAAAGGCTGGGCCTCCCCGGTGGCGCAGCGGTTGAGCGCTGGGTTGCGAAGCTGCCCACGGCCTCTGCGGCACCAGTTCGATCCCTGGCTGCTCCCCGGCCACCTGAGGAGGGTCCCACATGGCGCGCAGACCTCTCCTGCCACCCGCTGCTCCCCTCAGCAGTGTACTTCGGTCCTTCTGCCTGCTCTGCTCCCCGCTCTGGCTCTGGTGAATTCTCTCACCCTCCCGTGCTTCTGACTGTACCCAGTGCATGTATAAACAAAAAACAAACAAATAAATAAAAAAAAATGCCTCTAAAAAAAAAAATTTTAAAATTAAAAAAAAAAAATTAAAAACTAGTAAAGGCCTCTAAGAAGAGGTGAAGTTGAGAGTAATGCCTAGCAAGATGGAGATAAGAGTCTTCCACACAGAAAACATTACATACAATGGTTCTGAGGGAGAAAGAGACCTTAGTATAGTCAAAGATCTAAGCCCCCAGATAATGAGTGAGAGGGTAAGCAGCTGAGATAACATTTGAGGGTCACATAATAAGAGAATGGCCCTAATCAGGACTCAGCCTAAATCAAAAAGAATACAAGATCTGCAGAGAAACAGAATTTCAAGGGTGATCCCACTGGAGGCAGGAATGGAAAATACCTTGGACTTTGCACAGATCATACCTATAATATATAAAACTAGACAAGTTTGAGGTGATAAGTACTCTTCAGAAAAACAAGAAAATCTAGAGTCTCTGAAACTTATTTTTCACAATATTCAATACTATATTAAGTCAGAGTTAGGTCATATACCCCAGTTTGCAACTGGTGTCTGCTGACCTAAGGCTATCCTTGAGCCAGCACAGTGTTGGTGGGCTTTTATTAGAGTTTAAATGCCTGTAATAAGAACACATACCTTTCAATAAGATTTGGCCTTCATTACCCATCTGAATTGCCATACCCCTTACTAATAATACTGTTTAAATTGAATATGAAGTATGGGAATTCTGAAAAAAAAATGATAGTTGAATTCTATTGCGCTAAGAGGAAAGGTGATATAGAGTAAGGAATACAGGAGATTCAGCCTAGGATATTACAGAATACTAATCAACATAGGGAAGGCAAATGCATAGTATGAAGTTAAACATCTTATCATATTGGAAAGTAATAGTCAAAGAATGTTACGGTCCTGTCAAAATGACTCAGAAGAGTTTTTAATTACAGTGGGTCACACTGGTCAAATACGAGACATTTTGAGCACCTGTAAAGATAAAATTGTCTTGGATGGAAACATCAAATCTACACAAATATTTCAATCCATGAATTTGTAATAGTTCAAAAAAAAATTGAGTCCCTTTTAGATGATACTAAGAAAACAGCTCGTCATTTTCAAAAGAGGCTATCATTTTTCTTCGCTTTCCAATCAGTACTGCATCTCAAATTTGCCATGCAAATAAATGGTGAAGGGAAGTATCTGTTTATGAAAATATCACAGCTAATAAATGACCAGGATGAAGCAATGCTAAAACTAGGACATCATCATTTTCTGAGGGGAGCAGCAGAGGAGATAGGACAGGTCTGCTGCACCATGAGTGGATTAGCTCCCTGGCCAGCATGGAACTCAGACCACAGCAGTGAGAGTGCTGAGACTTAACCCTTACACCACCAGGGAGGCCCTGACATCATTTTCTAACCATTGCTGAAACAAATCAAGGCAATGGTTATTAATTGCTGCTAATTAATATGACAAAAAAAAAAGATATTATTATGTGCCTGGATAGAAGTATGTAACACTATCTATGCCACAGGGACATTTAGCAACATTTAGATAAATTTGTGGTCATCCCAACATGGTGCTGCTAGCATAGCATGTAGTGAGCAGAGCCAGGAAAGCTGTTAAACAACTATAAGTCACAGGAAAGCCTCCTCCCCCAATACACACTGTCCCTACAGCAAAGAACTATATGGCCCACTCAGTCTTGTGGGTTGGGCATTTGGATAACCATTAGCATCTGAGCCAATCATTTATTGTTTTGATGATCCTTTATCATATGAGTCCATCAGGTTTTTTTTTTTTTTTTTTTTAGTAAAGTATAGAAATGTCTTGGATTTTAGTCTATGTATCTTCATACAAGTGCTTGTTGAATTGCATAAAAGTATTGTGATAAACTATAACAATGGGTCCTAAAGAGTGTATTAAAAAGAAAATCGCAAATTGAAGCAATAAATTATTTTAAAAAGTATAATGATGGTATAAAAGCAGTGAATTGAAACAAAAATTTGTTTTTTTCCATCCACTCCATTAGTAAACTCCAATTGATTATGAAATAACTTTTTCCAATAATTACTTATGTTTTATTTCACCTTTTTAATGTCAATAAAAATAAAATATCTCAGAATTTTTGTTGTTGTATAAATCATTCTTATTACAAGCTTAGTTATGTGCTAAAAATTTCAAATTATGCCCTCTTAGAATGAATTATGGAATACCAATGTGCAATGTGTTACTGAATTCAGATCATGATATTTTCACTGTAATGATCACAACTGTAGATCAGATTAGTATTGTAATTTGGGGGTCTACTGTACTTAATGGAATACTATTTAAAAAGACAACATCTTGCCCTTTGTAATGAGGATGGAATGAAGTGA